TCAGTTATTGGCATTTTTTTCTTCATTGCCAACAAAATGTAAATATTTCAGCTTTTATGCTACCAAGAATAAGTCTTTTGGTAAAAAAGAATCTGGTGAAAACCATGATTTGGAAAATGATTAGTTATTTTAATATTTTTTTGCGTGTTGGATATGTGCAGAAAGTATAGACTTGTAAAAGTGTGTTCCAATACCATTTGCAATAAAGGAAGTATGTGTGTCTGTTGTGAAACTGAGGCCAGCTCTTACTCTGGCATGTAATAGTGAAGTTTAAGATAATCACTTGCATTTACTACATAGAGGGTTTACATACAGGCATGAATTCAAACCGGTGTATGACCAGCAGTTTTGATGAACCAAGAGACAGGAGTGTTCTAGAAGTGAAGGGATGAATTTAGCAATGATAATGACTGTGTACTGTTTGCTGCACAATTATACAAGAACCTTTTGGGTACAATTGTGATCATTCTTTTGCAGATGAAACTGTCATCTTTGAGTTCAATTCCTGTAATACTACAGTCAGGATAAGTGTTAATTACCTGCTAATTTCTAGATTGTGTTTGTATTAAGTCAGCTTTTTTTTTTTTTTTTTTTTTTTTCTGAACTTAATGTGACAAATTATAAGCATTAAGTGTTCATTATAAGTAGTTTTTAACTTTGCATAGATTTTCTTAGCCTTCATTAGGGAAATGTTTAAGTGATTAGAATTTTTTTTTTTTAATATGCTGTGACTATTCAAATAGTAAATAAGTTTTCAAATAAACTTACAATTCTTGGTCCACACTATAATTCTTGGCAACATTGAGCTGATATTTTTACTTCATAGCCTGATTTCTGGGATTAGTTTTAGGCTAAAAGACTTTCAGTGATTCTGTGTGTTGTGATAATTTTATTCTTCCTGTTTAAGTATTTTAAACAATGCTAGCACATGTTCCTCATGCACAACCAAGATATACATCTTGTATAACACAGAATTTTCTATATTAAGCTTTTGTCAGTAACTTTTTTTTTTTTTTTTTTTACCCCTCTGATAATGTCTAAATTTTGAGTGGTGTCATGTCTTATGGCAGCAAAATAACATTTAGTTAAGATCTACTTCAATTGAGATCTTGAAAAAGTCTAACAAAGCAGAAAGACTGTTAATGCAGAATGCAAAGGTTGAATTTTTCTCCTCTTTGATAAAATTTTCATGTTAGTAATAAAGTTGCACATGAATAATTAACAAGATTCAAAATCTTGGAACTACTTAGACTGGTTAACTTTGTTTTCTTTTTTTTTTTTTTTTTTTTGTTCTCCAGCAAAATGTAATTCTCTAACAATCCTGTCTCTTATTTCCACAAGCTAATAAGATAAAAACCTGTTACTTCAGAAAATGAAATTAACTGCTAATTTAAATATGGACATTGAGCATTAGGTAAAGTGTTATTGAATGAAAATGCTGGATGTATAATTATCATTAATATAACAAACTTAATTTTTACTCAATTCTTTTATAACTTAAACATTTGGTAAGGTTGTACAACATTATACAGTTTTTGTTTTAGTATATAGGGTGATTGAAAAGTAACTCCCTATTTTATGTATGTTTTCTCATCTGACTATAATTTTACAAGACTGGAGAGTCCATCATACACGAAATAAGGAGTTACTTTTCAGTCACCCTGTACATCAGGTCAAGTAGCTTGGATTGTGACTTGAACTCATGTTCTTAGAAAATTATCCTGTATAAATAACATTTACTGAATTGGCCATACAGGTCAATTAGCAGGTGAAAAATTTTTTTTTTACATGCCACACACGCACATATATATATATATATATATATATATATATATATATATATATGTTTGTTTGCGGGCTGGTTATGTGTTCCCAACTTGTTGAAGTCATTATTAATGTCAGTGTTTGAAATTGGGAATAATGTCTCCTGAAATATCCCACAACAAAAATGGTGTATATGAATTCACATGAAGAAATGCAAAGAACCAATACAGATATTTATTCCCTGAATTACAGGAATTGTGAAAAGAACCAATACATGTACAAAGAAATGATAATGTAGTAACAATAAAAATATACAAGTGACATACAATGATGTAAGAAAAACATGAAAACCAAAAAAAACAAACATGAGTGCTTAGTCTGGAGAGCTTCCCCAAGAAGTAGTTCATGAAAGTAGCAGGGTTAACCTGTGTGTGTGTGTGTGTGTGTGTGTGTGTGTGTGTGTGTGTGTGTGTGTGTATATATATATATATATATATATATATATATATATATATATATATATATTATTTGAAATAGCCATTCTGTGCCTAATGACGGTCATGAGACCCACAACACATATAGCAAAAATTATGGAAAATAATGTATAAAAAAAAAAATCCACATTAATGTTTGCAGCTTCACTTTTCCCTTTAAAATATACACTTTTTTTCTAACTATAATCTCTTTATTTATTTATTTATATATAATATCTTTATTTATTTATTTATATATATATATATATATATATATATAATGTTGGAGGCATGCTTTATAGCCATAAGATCTGGGTTTGAATTGTCAGAAATTATTAACTTACATTGTTTTTAACTGTTTTTTGCATGTGGATGAGTTAATAGAAGCATTAATAATAATAAAAAAAAAAAGTCAACAATCAATATCAATTATGAACACGGCCACAACATGCTGACTGTGTCTAGAAATGAAAACTATATATAGCCCCATGCTTGCCGCATTTGGGTAGATTATCAATCAATGCTGCTTTTTGACCAGAGAAGGAAATTTGTTAAAAATAATAACATCAATGCTAAAATTTGAAGTTGTAAACTTTTCACTCTGCTTTGTATATTTTGAGCCTTTCAATGTTTGTCCCCAAAACTAAAATGATGAGTTTCACATGAACATAGAAAAGATCACATGGATTTCACTTGGTCTTTTAGGTTTTATAAAATACAATTTCATTACTGTTTAGTAATGTGATCACTGTAACCATAAAAAATGACATGTGCAAGTTTTAGTGTCTAGTTTTGATATACCATCCAGTAAACTGGGTTGTTAGTAATTACACTCAAACTGAATTTGTGTTTTAATAACTTTAAACAAATCTATTCTCCAGAGTGCTGCAAAAGTAACACCCATTTCTTTAACTTTTATTGAACAAAAATAAATTACAGTAGATTATGGCTTATGCATTTGAGAATGGAATGCTTAAATCTTAATCTCGAGCTGAGGTGGATAGGACGACATGAGTAATTGAGTGGCCATCATGGTCAGCAGATCTAACATCGCCAGACTTGAGAGGCATATTGAAAGAACCTGTTTACAGGCTGAAACCAAAAACATTTCTTGAATCAAGACAGGAAATTTCTGTGTCAAATGGTTTGTAGAAGTAAACACTTCTGATAGTCTTCAGTGGTGTCTTGAACGGGGAGGGGCATTTTGAACTTATTAAATAGTTTGTTAATCATAAAAAATCCTGTTTTTGATGTGACAAGACTTATAAAATAACACAAACTACTGTAATTTTCATTCAATAAAAATGAAATAACTTGCTGCATACTTTATATAAATGTTTTATATTCCAATTATGTAGCTTGTTTAAAGTTTGAGATTGCTTTTTGTGATCATTAAAATTACAATTTAAGTGGTTTCAGCAAGTGATATATCTTTCTCCTCCTAGACCAGTTACTATCCAAGGCTATAGAACCCAGTCTATTTTGCTATTTACCTATAGCTAGGGGGAGAAGAGGAGGATTCATACATTTCTCAAGGGTATTAGCACGTAAGTGAATGTAATGGATTTGACTGGAATTCAAACTCTGCTTTCAGATTCCTTTAATCTGAGCTGCTATCTCTTACTTCACCTTGCCTCTGAATTCAAAACCGGCTGACGGTCATTTGGGGGACCTTGTGGCACACGGTACACCAGGTCTCTGTATTCCACTCTTCAAAAAGTGTGGTTGGTTCTGCACAACACCATCACCACTAATAGGAGTTGACATGCCGTTACATCCAACATCCATCCATCACCACTATAATCAAATCCTATGTGTAAGTTATCTGGTTGTCAGTTCCTAGGAACTAAGGTGCCTGACCCTCATTTGCTAGAATAGGATTCCTGGTAGGTGCAGGTCAACAGACCGTTGATCAACTTACATAATATAAAAAAATTAGTTAGTGCATGCATGTGTTGGAGTTGCAATTCTTTTTTCTTTTTCATTTTTTTTATTTTAAACAGTGAAGTTAATAACACCTAATTTAAGTTGGACTAAAGAAAAATTGTGGCACTCAAGCTAATTGAATCTGCTATCAGTTTGCCCACGGATACTTGCCTGAGAGCAAGGTTTGAGTAACCAATTTGAGGAAAGCATGCGCCTTTTTTATTTTTTTTTTTTTTTTTTTTTTTTTTTTTTTCTCACTTTTATGAAATGTGACTTCCTTAAATAGGTAATTGAAACCTTGCTCTCTCTGGCCAGACCTGTAGTGTCAGTCTTTGGCAAAAAGACTAAAGTAGCAGGGATGTAGATTTGATTCTTGTAGAAGGTAGTTTTTTCCTGTTGTAGGATTTCTCAATTTAGGCCAGCTATTAATTTCATTGTTTAAAAAAAACAAAAAAAAACGGATAGCAACTCGCACCTACCCATTACAAATATTTTTTTTTTTCTTCTAATAAGTAATAATGTAAGGTAAAAAACAGTCTTTTTGGAAGACATTCCAGCCAAATAACACAAGAAAATGTTACATCAGAGCTTTTCAAATTTGCAGGTTGCAGGACTTTTGTACTGATCCATTATTTAAATTTTTGGATACCATTCATGCATTTTAAATTCTATTTGGTTTGAGAAACAATACTTTGTATAAACAAAAAGACCCTTTAAAGGCTTATCAATGCAAAACCTTGTGAAATTGGTTAGACTAAATAAGCTTATATTGTACATGTTAGTGTTAAAAAATGCCTAAAATTTTAATTTTATTAAACTGTCTTCTCTTTATTCCAGACACTGACATTTGACTTAAAAGGTGTGCCACTTGCATCAAATGATGAGATTCACATTGAAGTCAAAGATCATGAACTTATTGGTCGCAACAAGTAAGTATATTTTTTGCATCTAGGTTTTAGCAGAATGGATCAAATGTCTTCTACCCAAGTGATTTCTAAACTAAGATAAGATCCTTTGATTGGTGAATTTAATTGAATTGAAGAGTTTTTAACATTAAAATAAAAATCTGTTCCAAACTTAGATTAAATAATCTAAGATTAAATAATCTAAGATTATTTAATCATGCTTTTTTAGTCTGATGGGAATACTAAAGATTTTCATTTACAATGTCTGCAGACACAAGGCAATGTCCAAGCATCTAAAATGATGCAGAAGTTCAGTAATAGTCTGTATTTTGACTGTTACCGAAGTCTGTATTTTGACTGCCCTCTAAAGTTGTTTACTGAATTGAGTTTAAAAAGTATCCATGTGTTTCAGAGGGGGAGTGGATCAAATTGCCTACAAAATAGTTGTGGTCTACAGAGCTAGCTTGCTATCCATTATCTGTAATGAGATATTTACTTAGCTATGTCTAGTTTAGCACAATATTGCATGTATGAGGTGGGGTACCCAGTGAGGATCACTGTTTGCAAAATGATAATGGTCTGTTTAGTTAGTTTCCTCTCTATTCTCAAAAACCCCTCAAAACTAACAATTCTATATCTGTATTTTATTTTTTTCTGTTAAGAGAAATAGTATGAGAGAAAAAAAACTAATTTTCATGTTTATACCTAAAATCACTGTTGGATTTGTAAACTTTTAAAACTTAAAACAATGCAGTTTTTAACTTATTAGACATAGACATTAAGTTTGTTTAATTAGGCAATGTGCTGTTTCTCACAACTTGTTGGTGCTACCTAGGAGATTATACATTTGAGACCTTAATATTCACACCTTAATACCACTCTATCATGAATACAGAATTAGCTTTCTATCATTTCTTTTCAAAGAAGCCATTTTATGATTAAAATTTAATGAATAAGAACTGGTTTATTGGGAAATCTGTATTGTAAAATAGCTGATTGTATCTCTCTCTTTCTGTCTATATGACCTTGTGTGGGTGTATGTACATGAGTGACTAGGTGACTTTTTTTTGTTATTGAATTAGAATATTCATATAGACATGAATGCCATTTGAATAAAATTGAAATGGACATATCTGTTGCAAGGGCTAATTCCCCATTTTGTTTAACAACCCTGAGTAATAGGAAAAGGGTATAGCCCTTTGAAATCATTTTTAGGACTCCTTCTGTATTTAAACTATTGTTTTCTAACAAATGCATTTTAAATGGATGAACAATTTAGATTTATCATTTTGCTGTGACAGATATCAAACTAGTTATGATTTTGAATTTGATCTCTTGGAAGTTTTCAGTTTGTCATTTTTAGCCTCCTGAAGTGTTGTCACTTTCTTTCTGCCATGGTTTTTTGTTTATCAAAATAATCATCTTCTAAATAATTTCAACATAGTTTGGATGGAAAGAATCCCCTTTTTCATTCAGATGAAAATAGGTGAATTAATACTGCGTCAGTATAATATCATGTGAATACTTTCTCTGCCAGATGCCATAATTTGGTTGGAGAAATATTTCAGGTCCTTGAAAGCTTGGCTTTTACATTTGTAGGTAACAATGGAAAGCTCTTCTTGCATACTTGGTGACTTCAAAAATTTGTACTAACAAAAGTGTCATTAATCACTGGCTTGTAGCACATACGTATACACATACGTATACATATGCACACTCACATGAGCTTACATACATCTCTCTCTGACTATAAAATGGAGTAATAATAGAAAAAAAAAAAATGCTTATTAAGCTAACGGCTATTACCTTTTTATTCCAGAAAAGCAGTTAAATGTCATTTTGGTTATTCTGTATTTTTTTGCCATTGTTTTCCTTAATTTTTTAACTGAAAATTTTTAAAATGATCAGCTTTCTGTTTATAGTTTCAGTTATCTGTTTTGGATAAGACTTGTTTTTTATGTCCATCGTCTTTGTCAAATTGAACTGAATTGTATTTTAATGAATATTGTCTTGAAAAAGGTTTATTAAACCGAAACGTCAGACGTCGACATTTCATTAATTTTAAACAACATAATTGCATTTAAGGATTTTTGTTTGTTTTTTCCAAATTTTTCTTTATATATATATATATATACACACACATGTATGTCGGTCTCCACTTTTATACTTACATTTACATACACTACATCTGATATTAAGCAGTTTTATTTATAAATATAGGATACCTTAAAATGTTTCTTATATACTGGGCATTTTTGTGGTGTTATGGTTAGCAAGCTTGTGTTGCTAGATCAATTACAACTGAATGGTGAGTTTGTTTGACCCTCACTGCTAACTCATACTTTCAGCCTTGTATCACATCTAAGCTACTCTTAAAATTGTTTTTTTTATATATATATATATATATATATATATATATATATATATATATAAAAATATTGAACACTGTTTTATTAACATCAGCACAATGTGAAAAATATGTTCTTGTTATATATGAACACTTAACAGGAATGTTGTTTAAAATCTAGGCCATAAGCAGCAATTCTTATCTAAGTTTTCAAAGTAAATTATAACTCCTGTTTTCTTAATACAAGAATGAATGTACTATTTTTACCTACTTGTAACTATTTAAACTTTGTGGCTTCAGAAAATGTTTTAAATTGTACTATTTCTAAAATATATTTTTTGACTTATTTAGTGTGTAGTCATGGGTAAAGGCATTAGAAATGCATTCATTTAGATATCTAATATAAGTTTTTGTCATGACAAAATATTTTTATTTCGGCTGTTAGGTATCTCCTTTTTAAAATGTAGCGCAGGAAATATTAATAGAGGTTGTCTAACTTTTTTTTTTTTTTTTTTTTTTTTTGTGCTAAAGATTTAAGACCCCTTCTTTATAAATCTGTCTTTGCAAATTCATTTTTTTTTTCCTCAATTATTTCTATTTTGACTTTCTGCATTTTGTTTATTTGGGCACAAACTATGAAAAATTGAAATCTAAATATTTTTCAGTTGTCTGAATTAAACAGATCCTAATATTTCATCTCAGACAAGTGTTTTCAGAATTTAAACTGTACACAATAGTTGATAAAAAGGCTGATAAATGAAACCCGATGGCATTGAGTATGAACACTTAACTGACAAGGATATTGTTGAACTTTCTAACCAATCCAGAAACTTTTCAAGATGAGGTGGATAATGATATTGTTTATATTGAAGTTCAACAGCCCCAATTTCAAGCATCAAAGTAAGAAAAGGTTTTTCGTGTCAGTCCATCCTTCAAATTAACCATTTGTCCTTGCATTGCATACTGTTGCCATATATGGTCTGTTGCCCCAACTGTTCATCTTGAGGTTCTTAACAAAATCCAAAGACGGATATGCAATGAGATAGGTCCTGACCTGACATCTTGACTACACTCACTTTTTCACATACATAACGTGGCTTCCCTCTTTCTACAAATAATTTAATTAGCAACTGCTCTGACGAGCTACTTTCACTGGTGCCCCAACTGCATTTAAGCATGTTACTAGATTGGTATCTTGGTTCCACCTTCTCATTGTCAAAACACTTAAATGTAACCACCTCTTCTACTCCAACAGCTTCTTCTCACACTTCCCAACAGTGGAACTCCCTTCCTTTTACTTCCTATTCCCTGATAGCTATAATCTTTAAATATTCAAATGTAATGTCAATCCACATCTTTTAATGCCTTGATCTTGATCCCATCCTTCTCTTTATGCTTCCCTCAAACACCCTCCTTTACTCTTACTTTCACTCTGTAACCCCTTGTGTGCTAGTGGCACTCCCGCGTTTCTTGGGGTGAAATGCTTTAAAAAAAAAAAAAAAAATTGTTTTTACTTTAAACAAGTACCTACTCTTAAAAATGTCTTGAGTAGAAAATGTGATACCAGCTGAACAAATTTTTTTTTTTCTTTTAAAAACAAAAACAAAAACTGGACCTTGAACAAAGTGTTTGAAAATGTTATTTAATATTAAATTTATTTCAGAATATGACTTTCCTTTATTCATTTTTGATAATTTAGGTATTAGTTATCCAGAATTGATTTTTTTTTTTTTTTTTTTTTTTTTTTTTTCAAGGTAACTGGATAATTGAGGGTGGGGGGGGCTTGGTAATGGCTCTGCTCTTACTTAAAACTTTACTTATAACAGGGGTTGGCAACCTTTTGAAAAGAGCAGGGCCAGAATCCTATGCAGTGTCTCTGAGGAGGGTTGTGATATCATGTGCTATAATAAATTCTTGATCTTCGACCACTCTGTCCAGAAGGCTGTCTTGGTCTGGAGGTCTAAAGAAAAAACAATGAAGTTAATGTTACGCTATTTAGACAGGGTTTCTTATTTTACTGTAGGAATAACAGAACAACTAACAAAACCAGCAAATTCCTTGCTACGAACAAAATAGTTAGAAATGGCAAGATTTTTAATGACACTTTTTTCTGCTTATTGTTTGATAACTTCTCCACATCAGTTTAAATACATATCAATGACAGGATCAAAATATCCAAGTGGTCAACACCAACCTTGTTCTTAAATGATTTAATATGTCATCTTTGCAAAATGTTGTTTACAAGCATATGTACTTCACAATGATGCCGTCATTTTCACATTCTTCAATCATGAGGTTGAGAATTCTTTTTGGATTCTCCTGACTCGTTCCTTCCAACCATCTCTGTCAGCAGTTCCTCCAAATGGCATCCAGAGTTATCTACAAGCTGGTCAATGTAGTTGTGATGAGGTCTCCAGCTGATCTTTTGCCATGCAATGGGTTCCATAGGAGGGTGTCACTAACAAGTTCTGACTTGCTTCTCCAGGAGTGAACAGCTAGTCAGTCTTCTCTTGCCGAGCAAAACTGAGATAGGGGGAAGGTGTCCATACAGATGTTTCTTCCAGCTGATGTCCAATGCAACATAACATCTTTGTGTATGTTCTGTCAAGTGATGCTTCTTGGTGTTTCATCAGTGTTCATGTTGTTGAGCAGTAGAGCAAGACAGATTTTACCATGA